GTGATGTTTGAGTACCGGGTTATTTTTAAAGAGAAGTATACCTTGGTGTGATGATCAGTGACGAATTAGTATGTCAAAACCACTTTGAATGCGAATAAATCAAGTGCCGTTTTAAATCTATTCCAAACAAAGGACCGTCAGAAATAAAATAAATACAACACATAGATGAGCTGGGCAGATTTATCGTAGCTAGAAGGGAAAACTATACATGTATTGTTAAACACATAAAAACTTTCTTCAAACATAAATTACTATAGCCAATCAAGATACTTCCCAAATGGGTATTTGTAACATTAATAGCCCCGTCACACCATAACGTTTTGGTCAGCGTTCTCTGAACGTTCCAATCGTCCAATTTCCGAGCGTTCTGGAACGAGGTAGACACATCCAGCGTTCGATTAACCAGTGCCTAACGTATGACGAGCGTGTTCCTAGCGCACGAGGAGCGTGTAATGAGCGACTAAGTAAGATACCCCTGGAAATCATTTACGTGTGCTAACGTGTCACTAGCGCGCGACGAACGACTTTTAAACGTTAAGTGAGCATGTTGAGCGTGTATCTAACGTTAGGTCGTTAATTTGACGTTAGTCGCACGCTTTATGTGCGCTAGGGGTACGTTCAGCGGTCGTTGACAGGTCGCTAGTGAGTTGTTCACTAGCAAAGCGAGCGATTGGTAACAACTAAGTAACGCTAGAGCAACGACTGACTAACGATTGTCGAACGCGTCGAACGTTAGCAAAACGATCGAAGAACGTTATTTAACGTTTAACAGCGTTTAAAAATAAACGTTGAAGAACGCTGGTCTCAAATGAGAACTTTTGTGCATGTTCAAAATTTTTTTTTTTTGGATCAGTGTTCTCCGCCGATTCCCGACGATCAGCAACGATTACCGACGTTCACTGGCGTTCTCACGGCCCTCTTCTGGCGCTGTCCCAGCGACTTTGGGCGACTACCAACGTTTCCTCAAACGCCAGAGAACGCTAGCCAGAACGTCATGGTGTGACGGGGTCTTTACCGTGACATTAAAGAAGCGCTTTTTCACTAGAGGGTACGATGTAAAGGTAATGCGTATGTAATATTTATTTACGAGGAAATATGGTTCGTGTTCAAGAGACATAAACTTAATACATTGTAATAGTTTGTCTAGGAACACAGGTTGTACTCGAACCCACAACAATTTTTATGCGAGGAATACACTAAGGAGGGTGTGTTGTGGACTTTAGTTTTAGTGTAACACATGAGCCATTTCATAATGTA